TGATTGTATGATTAGCTAGACTAGTCGAGTCTCGCAATTGTATGTATAGTTTTTGCATTGGAATATCTGGGATAATGGGGAACTCATTAAGCTTTGTGTGCTTACATTTTAAAGTTAAATGTTTTTCAGGTAGTTCCGTTGAGAATGGTAAAGGTGTCGATTTACTATACACATATATGGAGGTGTTATGATTTTGATTTACACAAACTCTGATTTATGCTTTTAACTTGATTTATAACGTTGAAAATCATTTGATACTTGTTACATCTTTATGAAAAATGGTTTTATATTGTTTACTTAAATTTTAAAAGGAAAATCTTAGTTGAAAAAATGTGGGACGTTACAATAATCACATGTGGTTAAATACACGAGAACAACTATATATTGAATCGAGAACGTAAAAAAAATATTTCCCATATAAATCGTATATGATAAAATACATATAATCACATGTGATCAAATACACAAGAACAATTATTGAATCGAGAAAATGAAAATGAATCTTGTATATATAAATCATATATGTGATTTCATAAATATAATCACATATGATTAAATACATGATAACAACTATTAAATCCAGAACACACAAAATAGTGTCCACATGAATCATATATGATTAAATACGTATAAACACATGTGATTAAATACACGAGAACAATCATTGAATCGTCAACATGAAAACAAATGTTGTCCAAATAAATCATATATGATTAAATACATATAATCACATATGATTATATACACGAGAAAAACTATTGAATCTAGAATGTGAAAATGAATATTATCTACATGAATAATGTGTGATTAAATACATATAATCACATATGATTAAATACAAGAGAAAAATTATTGAATCAAGAACACGAAAACGAATCTTGTCGACATATATCATATGTGATTAAATATATGAAATCTCATGTGATTAAATACATAGGAAAATTATTGAATCGAGAATGTGAAAACGAATATTGGGTGGTTGATAATGTGCAGTGGTGGGTGGTGGATGGTGGTGGGTGGTGGATGGTGGTGGGTGGTTGGTATTGGGTGGTGGGTGGTTGTTGTTACAATGATTTCTAGGAGAAATCATAGCTCTTCGTCTACTCATCATCCGAGAAGTCACACTGCATAAGATAAGCAAATTCTAGGTTAGAAAGCCATAATGAGGGTTGGACCCCAGTATTGCTCTCTGATGCCTAAGTTATATGCAAAACATATAAATTGCTATGGATTGCTTATGATACTGCCTCTTATATTCGTACCTTTCTATCGTTCCCCCTGAGATTATTTATAGGCTTCTCCAAACATTTTCGTATAAGGTTGAATCCAATATTTCGTTGTTGTTCGGTTAATGGGGAGTTACACCTTTTGTCCTTCTTTTATCAATATATTGCTTCGGATCTTCCTTTTGCATGAACCCTAGGATGTGTTTCCCATGCCATCTTTTATCCTTATGATATTAGTGATGTTTCGTAGATCTATTTGTGATCGACCTATCCCTTGTTGGTTTGGGAATTTGTATGCGATCATACAGTCCGAGATTCGTTCATGATGGGTTGTATTTGTAACTTTATGATTTTGTTATGCCGACCTGGTGGGTGCGGGACAACATTGGGCTTGGTTGGATTACTGGTCCGAGTACACCATTAAGCCCCCCAGTCTGAAGGGTGAAATGTAACGCCCGTGTTTCTAGGCTAGGCATTAATATTGACGTAATAGTCTAGGTTAACCTTTGTAACTCATTTTGAAGTAATAAAGAGGAATTATGTGAATATTATATGCTTATCTGCTTAATTATTATGATTAATGAATTAAGAATAAAAATAAGCGGCGAAAATAAATATTAGATAAAGCCGATATCTAAGGATAAAGTTGTAAAGAATCTCGTTAGAAACATTTAGGCGAAAACCTCACCGAAATTCGAGTTATAACGAAGAAGTTATGACATGTCGAAGTTTCGTGACAAAACCGGCACGGCGCCGAATGACGTAAAAAGTGAGTTTTTGATAAACTACTTTTTAGCCTTGGCGATCTAAATAAAAGTCGTAGTGTTCGTTAAACCGAGAGTATGCGTAAAAAGAACGCCCAAATCTGACTTCGTATGAGGAAGTTATGATTTTTCTAAGTTTCAGCTTAGTAGTAGACAACTAAAAACTCGAATTTTAGATCGAGTGATTTTTAGCCGACACAACCTAAACGATAATCGAAGGTCTCGTGAATAGTAGTACAACGGTAAAAAGACAGACGAAAACGGACGTCGGATGAAGAAGTTATGAATTTTTAACGGATTTTCCTGTCCCGGTCTGTTAAAAATAATAATATTAAAAATAATTTCAAAATTAGCTGACGAAGTCTAAACAAAAGTTGTAGAGCATAATTTTCCCTACGCGTGCATATAAAGGACGTCAAAAACGGAGCTCGTATGCGAAAGTTATGGATTTCATAAGATTTTGGCACAAATTCCGGGAATCTCGCATGGATAAGCCTTATCCAGATTGGCCACGTCACCCTCGCCGGATTTCGCCACATGTCCGACGTCGATGAGTCATCCGCGCAGCAGCCGACGCGTGCCGCTGATCCTCGCGTCCGAAGCGCTGGTCCAACCTCAGTCCGACGTGTGCCCTTCGCGTGTCCGAGTCTCGCACGAGCCACCTAGCCCCCCCTCACATCCGACGTCTGGCGTCCGATCCGAGCCTCGCTGCTGCTGCCGTGTGTCCTTTCCTTCGGCCGGAGCTCCGAACCTCGTCCCTATAAAAGGGAGGGCTGCGAGACTTTCCGGGTAAGTTTGGATTTTTGCCACTTTTCACCCCTAAACTCATATTTTCACTATTTTGACTTCTCCCGGAGCCCCGAGATCATTTCCAACACCCGCAACACACCCCGAAGTGCCCGAAGACCCGGAAAATTTTATCTTTTCAGTTTTGAAGCCCAACCCTCGCAGAGCCCGGTTTCTCAATAAAACTACCGGTTTTATTAGAAACAATTGTTTTAGGAAACGAAGTGCTGCCCGATTTTCGTTAAATCAAGTGAGTGTATAGTCACTTTCATCTTACACATAGATATGAAGTATTTTATATAAAATACGTGCTATGTGATCATATATTGTTTATTTATTTGAGATGGATGATAAATGAATGATTTATACAGATTTTTAAATAAATTAAACTGTATATGTATTTTTATCTACAAATATGTTGGGTAAAACATGGGTAGATAGTTGATGTGTGATGAAATAAAATGATGAGAGGCCTCGATGTTATTGTGATCCAGTAATCTAGCGGAGTATGGATGACGACCACAGACTTTTCTAGACAGTCCAGTGGAACGCTGGCAGGCTCGCAACCTGTAGGTGTTAATGAGCTTGGGTGTTCATTTGTTGTACTCCATCCCCCACATGGTTGCCTTATTTGACATAAATTGCTGGGAAACCCCCAAAGCAGTGTTGTCGCCCCGATGAAAATCCTTAGACTAGGTCCCTTGTGATAGTTGTTTTAGGGATGTAAAGTGAGGATAACGGGAATGGGTAATCGGGTTATTGTTGTTTGATGAAATTAATATATTTATTTATTATGGGTTGAAAACCCTATATGCTCACCAGGCTCCCAAGCCTGACCCACTCAGTTTTCTTTGTATTAGAGGTAGTGGCGCGAGAGCATAAGTTGAACGACTTATCAAGATATTTTGATTATAGGCCTGTAGTGTATATAACTGTTGTAAGGCTTATAATGTGCTGTTTATGCTTTTGGTCTGTATCGGAAAATGACATCCCGAGTTTTGTTATATAATAAAAATACATTTCTTTAAGAAATGCCTTGGTAAATCTTATTTTATCATATTTCGTTTTGGGAACAAATTCCGCAACTCTTTTAATCAAAAGATTACTCTGAGATTATTTTAAAAGCATAAATTAAACCGGTCTTTTCTGGCCGTGAATTTGGGGATGTCACATGAAATAATGACACGAAATTAGTTGACCGTTCAGACTTTTAAAAATCTTCCTCGGTTAATGAAGCGTCCTACACATGGTGTGTACAAGTGTGCATTAAATGCTTGCGTCATCGGTAAGTCATCTATTCGAATTTTGATTGGATTGCCTTAATTAATGCTTTAACCAGTCCCTCCTTTTATTTAACGGATAATCCTGACGTATTAGACACTTCTTTTTTTACTATCTTATCCCTCCTTTCACATCATGGTTGTCGTGGCTTGTGACATGTCGACTGTGGTTTCTGAGGTAGATAGCTTTATGCTAGACCGATACATACACGAGTATCACTTGTCCCAAGTTCACGACATTAAACTTCTATCCCTGTCTTCATGAATTCTTAATGCTCCATCTGGCAAGGTAGGGTTGTACCTTAGACACTTGGTGTGTGGTTTACGGTCACCCCTTCCTATTTCTTTCTAGAAATGCTATGTTTTTAAAAGGTTCATTCGGTGCAGCTTTATCCTAATGTTGTATCAAAGGTGTTAACTTTTGAAGCTTTCTGTGTGTCGCGTTATATTCCTCTAAAAGTTGATTTGTTTCGTTACTTCTATCGTTTGAAGATATACATGGACTGGTACTCCTTAGCAGTCACCATTTTCCACTTTCTCATGATTTATCTTGTATAAATGGTGGGTGGAAGAGCAAGTTTTGTTGGGTAGATATTCATAGTTTTTGTCTTCCCCTCACGCCTGGACACGTGCCTCCCGCTGATGATTCGGTATCATTGTCTAGCGAGCTATTTGTGTATATAACTTTATTTTCTTGTTTTGTGTACATAGGTCATTTTTGCTAGAGGTTGTACTTGTGTTATGTCGTATGAGCCATATTTGGAAAGATCAAGGTGAACTGCCAGTTTTAGCTTTAGCTGTTCGTCGTCTAGGTTGGTGATTTGTTATACCTTTTACTTTATTTAGTAAGGCTTTTTCATTCGTCCTTTTCATACATTCTCCTGATATAAATGTTGTTTTTATTCATTTTCTCTTTGTTCATTAAATATGGTAGATGGTAGTAAATGCTCGTTTCAAGTGACTGCGTATGTGTCCGGTGACATACCCCCTCAAGCCATTATGTTGGAAACTGTCATTCTGGATTAATATATGTGGACCCGGTGGTTGTGGTTCCTCAGCCACCATTTAGATTACCTGGTTTTGGACCGGACACTTTTGGTATTAGCCAACTTTTGGGAGCTCCTTGTCCTACTTTTGTTGTTCCAACTCACACTGATTCTACTAGCCATGTGGACGTCGGTTCTTTAAGTGCCCATTCTCTTAGTCGCAAGCGCAAGCGACCTTTAACACCTCATCAGTTTGAACATTTTTTGCGTGAAGTTTCAGGAGGTTCTCGTTGTGTGTCACCTCCACCCTTTGATCATACTTCTCCTATCATAGCTGGTACGTCTTGTTTATATATATATATATATATATATATATATATATATATATATTTGTTGATGTTAGCATGATCGTAATAAGGGTTTTTTTCTTGTCTAGATGGTTGCGCTTCGTGTATTCAATTTCAAGAGGAGCTAAATGAGGCGTGTCGTTCTATTGCGCTTGCTGAGAGTATCATATCTACAGTTCTTGGACAGGAATCAAAATTTCTTGATGGGTTGTTAACTTTGCAGGACCGGTATTTATTTCTTGAAGTTAATTTACAGGCCACAGAGGGTATGAAACTTGCAGGTGAAGAAATGTTGTTCAAGGTTGTGGAGGTGCATGCTGACTTGTATAGTCAATATCGTGTTGCTGCTGACAAGGTTGTAGTGTTGGAGAATCAAAGGTCTCTTTTGGAATCAGATTATGAAGTGTGTCTCCGAGAAAATGACGTACTTCGTGCTTAACTTGTAGCCAAGTCTCTGTGAATCTTAATATATGGCTTAGTTATGATCTTTTTCTGTTGAAAGCAACGATTTTACCTTTGCTTGTGGGTCTAACCAAACCTATTATCATAATATTCTCATTTGATAAATTTTATGTATCTTTTTCTTTTCTGTTATGGTTGTTTCTTCATGGTTGGGTACTCGGTAATGTGAAGCTTGTGCTTTGTATTTTTATTTTTACAAACTGGTTTCTTAGCAACGAGTTTATCTAAAAAAATTGTATTGCCACATACACGTGTGGTCTGGATGTGGTGGTTCTGTGCGTTGTGTAATTGTCTAATTTGGTCATATTTTAGAAAAAATGCGTCTATGAACTAATCATGCATCCTGATATCTTTATGCCAGGTAAAATTGGTTAACCGTGTTACCTTGTTGAAGGAATAGCCTTATTCCTATGCTAAATGGGTAGCCTAGGTCGGAGTGTGGTACTAGACCTTTATGTGGACGTGTAGTCAGCTGTCTCGGCTATACATTTTAAAGAACAAGTATATTCTTGGCCTAAGAAGGTAACCTAGGTCGGAGTATGGTACTCGACCTTTATGTGAGTGTGTAGTTACTTGACTGAGCTACATGTTTTAAAGAACAAATATATCTTTGGGCTAAGAAGGTATCCTAGTTCGGAGTATGGTACTCGACCATTATTTGAATGTGTAGTCGGTTAACCGAGCTATATGTTTTGAAGAATAAGTATATTCTTGGGCTAAGCAGATAGCATAGGTCAGAGTATGGTACTCGACCTTTATTTAGATGTGTATTTGACTGACCGAGCTACATGTTTTGAAGAATAAGTATATTCTTGGGCTAAACATATAGCCTAGGTCGGAGTATGATACTCGACATTTATGTGAATTTGTAATCGGTTGACCGAGCTACATGTTTTAAATAACAAGTATATTCTTCGGCTAAGCAGGTAGCCTAGGTCAGAGTATGGTACTCAACCTTTATTTGAATGTGTAGTCGGTTGACCGAGCTACCTGTTTTGAAGAATAAGTATATTCTTGGGCTAAGCAGGTAGCCTAGATCGAAGTATGACATTCGACCTTTATTTGGATGTGTAGTCGACTGACCGAGCTACATGTTTTAAAGAATAAGTATATTCTTAGGCTAAGCAGGTTGCCTAGGTCGGTGTATGGTCCTCGATATTTATTTGAATGTGTAGTCAGCTGACCGAGCTACATGTTTTGAAGAATAAGTATTATCTTGGGCAAAGTAGGTAGCCTAGGTCGGAGTATGGTACTCGAACTTTATTTGGATGTGTAGTCGGATGACCGAGCTACATGTTTTTAAGAATAAGTACATTCTTCGGCTAAGCAGGTAGCCTAGGTCGGAGTATGGTACTCGACCATTATTTGAATGTGTAGTCGGCTGACTGAGCTACATGTTTTGAAGAATAAGTATATTCTTGGAATTTCCTAATTGCCCCTCATTTTATTTAGTCGTAAATATAGATTGTCGTAGCAACTGTTCCCTTTATCCCATCGACCAATATCATTATACATTTACTTCGTTTCCTCGTTTGTTTAAACATAGAACTTTCTTAGGTTTTTTACATGCCATGACCTTGGTATTGTCTCTCCTTCCATTGTTTGTAAAATGTATGATCATTTCTATTCGCCTCCTGAATTATATATGGGTCTTCTCATATTGGTCTTAGTTTACCTTGCGGCTCTTGCCTGCTTGCTTCGTTGTTTCTTAATACTTGCTCGCCTGTCTTGAAAAATCTTCCTTTCACACGTTGGTTATGGTGGCATTCTGTCTGTTTCTTATAATTCTATTGCCATATTGTTGTTATCTCTCTTTGTTCCATGAATACTTCTAAGTTTGATCGCAAACCCTCACTATTGTCTGTTGTGTCAAAATTCGATGTTCAGTTTGTTAAAACGATTAATTCTATTGGTAGAATTTCTTCTGATCCATAAAATAAGTTGAAGGTGTCTCCTTCGTCGCAATACGTGTTGTGGTTCGGTATGCCCATAACACACTTGGCAATTCGTCAACCCATCTTCCCTTAGCTGTGTCCAATCTTGTCGCCAGGCCGTGCACTATCGTTCTGTTCGTAACCTCCGTTTGACAATTTGCTTCTGGAAGTGCCATGGAAGTAAATTTCTGATTTATCCTGACGTCTTCACACCATTCCCATAAAGGGGTTATGTTCCAATTGAGTGCCATTATCTGAAATGAGTGTGTGGAGTATCCCGAATCGGAAAATGATTTTTTTCCAAAAGAATTTTATAATATTTTGTCCGGTTATCATCACAAGCGGCTCAACCTCCACCCATTTTGTGAAGTAGTCTATTGCTACTACTAGGAAATTCACTTTTCTCTGTGCTTCTGGGAAAGGCCCCACTATGTTGATGCCCCATTGAGCATAAGTTCATGGGCTACTGATGCTAATCATGGGCGTAACTGATTTTCTTGGTATCAGTGCATGATTCTGACATTTCTCACATTTATAGATTATGTCTTTTGTATCTTGGTACATGGTCAGCCAGTAGTACCCAACCCTTTCTATCTTTATTACTATTGTTTAGGCACCCTCATGTGCCCCTGCGACACCTTCATGCATTTCTCTTGTGAGGTATTCTGCCTGCTTTCCATTCACAAAACATAGGCGAGGTGCCAAGTATCCTCTATTGTACAATATATAATTATTCATTGCAAACTATGGTGCTTTGATTCGCAACTTTCTGGCTTGTTTGTGATCTTACGGTAATTTCCCTTCTAACAAAGATTCCATTATTGGTTTCCTCCAGTTGTTTGACTCTTCTAACATTGATACCGTCAATGTTTCGTCGATTAATTTGACTTGCATTATTTTCACTAACACTTTCTTGGTTAAGTGAGGAAATGTTGATGCTGCTTAATGCGTCCGCTCTCTTGTTCTTCGATCTTGGTATGTGTTATAATTTGAAATTTATGAATTGCTTTGTTAATGCCTTTACTTTGTCTGCGTACTGTGCAAGATTTTTTCCTCGGATTTCGTATAACCCGTTAATTTGGTTTGACACAACAATTGAGTCTATGAGTGCATGCATGTGTTGGCAAACCACTTTGATAGCTAGCTGTAATCATGAGATAAGTGCTTCATACTATGATTCGTTATTCGACGCCAAAAAGTCGAACCTTAGTACATATGCTATTTCCTCTCTTGTTGGGCTTGTTAATATTAGGCTATCCCCTGCCCCTTCAACAGGGGAGGATCCATCGGTGTGTAACTTTCACTGCGTGTTTCGTGTATGCTCCATGATTGCATTTTTAGTTTCCATTTCCTTTACTATTGCCACCTCCCTATGACATACTATTTCAACAATAAAATTTTTCAGTGCTTGTGCCTTGATACTAGTTCGGGGTTTGAAAACGATTTCATGTTCTCCTAATTCCATGGCCCGCTTAACTATTCGTCCTGACATTTCTGGCTTAAGTAGCATTTTCCGTAGTGGGAAATTCCTAAGGACTTCTATAGTATGTGCTAAGAAACACCTCCTCAGTCTTATGGATGCATTCACAAGGACAATGCTAATTTTTCCATATCTAAATATCTGATTTTCTCTCCTTGTAATATGTGACTCACAAAGTATATAGGTACTTTTTTGTCGTCCCTTCTGGCTACCAATATTGCACTTGCTGCTGTCTTTGATGCTGCTAAGTACATTGTCAAAATTTCTCCTTAGATTGGTGATGTTAACGTAGGCAATTATGTTAATGTTACTTTAAGCTTCTGAAACACACTCTCCGCTTCCTTTGTCCACCAAAAATCCTTTTTGTCCAATACTCTCTTTAGCGTTTTATAGAATAGTAGTGTATTTTCTACAAATTTAGCTAAAAATCGTCCCAATCCCGCTAATTTTCCGTTTAGTGCTTGTACTTCTTTTACCATTTTTGGTGAGCGCGTTTTTATTAATGATCATATCTTCCTTGGGTTTTCCCTTATCCATTCCTTCATAATGACATTTCCTAGGAATTTTCCTTCTTCTGTTACAAACATGCATTTCTCTAGGTTTAATTTCATGTTCACTACACTTAGGTTTGCAAAAGTTTCCGCTATGTCTTTTAAGAAATGGTCGTCATCCCGACTTTTGATGACCATGTTTTCCACATACACTTCAATATTCCTACCCATTTGTGGCTTGAAGACTTTTTCTGCTAGGCTTCGGTATGTCACTCCTGTGTTTTTCAGTCCAAACGACATTTTTGTATAGAAAATGTTCCTCTGTTTGTATAAAAGGAGGTTTTCTCCTCATCTTCTTTATGCATGTGTATCTGGTGATACCCTTTGTAAGCATCCAATAAGCTCTTCCATTTGTGTCCATGAAAAGAATCTCTCTTTTCATCTATGGACTACAATAGGTAGCAGTCTTTTGGGCATGCTTTATTTAAGTTTGTGAAATCGACACATATCCTCCACTGTCCATCTTCTTTCATGACCAATAACAGATTTGCTAACCAAGACGGGAAAAGAGATTCTCTTACTACCTACGCACCGACTAGCTTGTCTACTTCATCGTTTATTGCTTTATTTCTATCTTTGGACCGCCCTCTTTTCTTTTGACGGATTGGTTTGTTTCCCAGGCTGCCATTTAATTTATGTTCGATTTGTTCCCTTAGTATATCGGTCATGTCGGATGACTGCCAGGAAAATACATTAATACTTTCTTTTAACAACTTTGTTAATCCCTCTCTTAGCGTATTAGGTAATCCTGCCCCAATCCGTATTCCTTGTTCTGGGTATCTGTCATTTATTACAACTTCCTTTGTTCCGACTTGTGTTTGTTTTAACCCTGACGTCGTTATGTCTGCTCCTTCCGCTATAAACGTTGCCATGGATGTTCCTAAGGGCTTGCTATAGATTGTCACATAACCGCTTGGTATCTTGAATCGAATTAAACCGTGAATCGTTGATACAATGGCTTCAAATTTCTTAATGGCAGTCCTCCCAAATATGATGTTGTATAGTGATAAAG